TGTGGGGCGGTGGCGGGGCGGCGGCAGCACACAGTTTCCATTAGGACGGCAATGCCAGCTGCTGCAAGCGCTGGGCAAGGGCACGCCCGGACGGCGGCACACTGGCACGCGTTGTGTGCTCACCCAGAGTCAGTGGCGGTGAAGGCGACGGTTATCTCCGGCTGGGCGGTGGCGGTGGGTACGCTGTAGTAAGGGATGGCAGGGACCGGCGGCAGGGCTCAGCAGGGCGCCACCTGACAGCCCCAACAGCGGAGGCTGCCACACTTGCAGCAGCCTATGGGCGGCACTGCCAGCCGCTGCCCAGCCGCCCCCGTGCTCACTTGATGTCTGAGAAGGCGGGGGGCGTGATGTCCACAAGAAATGTAGAGGTGGCGGGCTTGCCCTGGTTGCCCACACCATCCACAGCGTACACTGCAGGGTAGGCGCAGTGTGGAATGTGGGCGGAGCGCTGTACAGCAAGGCAGGCGCATGCCGCTGTTGTGATCCAGCCATGCTGCTGCTACTGCTGCTGCAGTGCAACCTCCCCCCAACCCACCGGCAAACATATAGTTGCCGTCTGTCAGGTTGGTGAGGGCAGCCGGGGATGTGCACCAATAGTAGGCGCTTGCATCAGGGGCCGCCGGCGCTGGGGCGCCGGGATCGCTCCGCGACAGCCTGTCCGGGACGGAGAGAGGAGGGCGGCCGGGAGCCAGTCAGCAGCAGCGCTGGCCTGCGGACAAAGCAGAAGGCGCATGACAGCAGCGCCGCCGCCACCGTCCCTCCTCCACCCGCCCTCACCCGCAGTAGAAGGACACCCCCTCCTCGCTGGAGTTGAAGGCAACCGACGTGGCGTTGGAGCGCAGCATGGGGGACGAGGGGGCGCCGGGGGGCTCTGCAGGCGAGCAGCAGGCAGGGCCGTGTGGAGCGGCAGGGCTGCCGTGGCTACATCAGCCTGCAGGGCTCCCCAGGTCGGGGCGGGCGGGCTGCTACGCGCTGGGACAGGCAGTCCACAAGCGCCCCACCTGCAATGCTGACTTCAGGCGGCACCGAGTCCACCTCAAACGTGGACAGCGCCTCGGTGCCAGCGGCGCCATTGGCGCCAGCCACGCGGGCGTGGAAGTGGTAAGAGCCATCCTGCACAGGCACAGCGAGGGAGGCAGGGGCAGGCCTGGTGTCGGTGGCAAGACAGCCAATGCAGGGTGTGGCCGAGCGTGGCGGACCCAGCACACAGCGCCTGCACCCGCAGCCAGATGCAATGCGCCACACCCACCTTGGTGTCTGCGGGCAGCGCCACGGGGCTGGTGCAGTCGACGTATGCCGCCGCAGAGGCACCTGCAGCGGCGGGCAACCGAGCAGGCAGGGAGCTTGGCAGCCAGCAGCACAGCGCTGATAGACGTGCCTGCTTTGAAGAGTGCTGGGAGCTACTGAGAGCTAGCTGGGAGTCCGCCGGAAATGGGAGCGCACCCCCCCCCACATACAACCAACGCCGCCCACCCACCTCCCACCGCCTCCAGCCAGCACTGGTGCGCGGAGAAGACCTGCGCCGCCTGCCCAGCCGAATCCAGGTCTGTGAAGGTGAAGGTCATGTTCTCCTTGGGCTGCAGCCCAAAGGGGCCGCTGCATGGCGGCGCAGCGGGGCCGAGACGTGGCGGCGGTGAGCGGCAGAGGCGCGACGCGCTCAGCCAACCAACATTAGCTAGCCTCCCTCCAGGAACGCATCCACCCGCCCATCACACACACACACACAAACACACCTGAGGAAGCGCGTGTACATGCCCGCCGCCTCTGCATACTCCACGGTCCACTCCACCTGCTGCGCCGGCGCCGTGTTGCCGGCCGGGTCGGCGCCCACCACCGAGAAGGCCCAGGTGCCCGGCAGCAGCCAGTGCAGCACCTGG